CTCTGCCCCGGCCAAGTCCGCTCCCGCCAAGCCTATCGTGAAGAGCAAATGGGAGGGCGAAGACGAGGAAGACGGCAATGTCGCTGTAAGTCTCAAGAACTCTTGCTGTTCACGTGCATACATATCTCATAAAGCGAGTGCATGTAGTCTGACTGGGAGGAATCCGAAGAGGAGGAGGAGGAGAAGCCTAAGCCTGCCGGGCCTGCGCCTCCGACGAAGAAAAAGGGTACCATCAAGCAGAAGATCGCGGAGAAGGAGGCACTGAAGGCAGAGAGGGCGGCTAACGGCGAGGACGAATTATACGACTCGGACGACGTACTCGACCCGCGCGAGAAGGCACGAAGGGACAGGGAGAGAGAAGTCAACGCAGACCTGAGCAATGCTGCTGACCTTCTTGGTGCTGCTGCGCTCGGTGGTACGTGTACTTATATTTCCACTTCGCCTGCTACGCGTACTAATATATTTTATGCTTTTCGCAGGCACCTCAGACAAGGAGCTCGACAAACTCGTCTCCTTCGACCCGCGCACGAAGGAAGACTTCCAGGGCTTCTCGCAGCGCATCATCGAGTACCTCGTGAAACGACACCAAAATAAACCGTTGTACGCGTCGTTCGTCGAGCACCACGTGCGCGAGCTTGCGCTACCGCTCAAGGACGTTGAGGTACGCAAGGCTGCGAGCGGGCTCACGACACTCGCGAATGAGAAGCAGAAGGAGCAGCGCGAGAAGGCGAGCGGGAAGAAGAAATCTAAGGCCGCGGGTAAGCCGGCGCTAGGCTCTACGAAGGCGGCGAGCAGGTCTGTATACTTTTTCTCGATTATTTTGCTTTATTCGTGCTGATGGAAACTGTTATGAAGATATGATACGAACGTGTACGAGGAGCCGCTCGACGATTTCGGAGGGAACCCAGACGATTTTATGTAGTTTTTGTAGGGTGTCACTATTTGCTGTCTTTTTAAACTGTGATCTTCTGTTTTAACTTCGAATATTGGTTGTTGTACTGTATACGTCGTTGCTAACGTTCTTATGGTGCATGGCGAATATCCAGCATAATAAAAGTAAAAAAGGTGTGAAGAACATGATATTGCCAATAATTTGATCAATCTTCATCCCCGCTAACATCCTCCTCGTCATCACTGGCCACGCCGATGACGCCCCCACTCTCTTTCTCTCTCAGCTCCCGACCCGCCTCCTTTAGTTTCTGGGAAAAGGCCTTGCGCGCTCCGACGTTGGCGCCGACATCCCAAACTTGCAGCTTGGCTTTCGAACCGGCCGCGGCAATGGTCAGGGGGTCGTCAGGCGAGAACCTAGCCGAGAAGACCTTACCCTACGATTCAAGAATTGTTTAAAAATGGTCGAGATAAGTAGGAAATTCACGGGACTCACGACGCCCAGGTCTCGTGAGTTCACGAGGCTCACGCCCCTTTTCCCGCCGCTTTTCTCGTTGACGTTCCACACCTTCACCATCTTGTCCGTGCCTCCGGTCACCAAACAGCCGCGAATATGCGGGTTTACGTCGAGAGCAGAGGCGGCACCGTCGTGGGCGGCGAGCATGAAACGAGACGGGGAAGGGAGGTTGAGATCTGATGGCAGGGCGCGGACGTCGAAATTCAGGACAATTCCGTTCTCCAGAGAGACCTGACAACAAAGTATGAGTAATTTTGACTCTTTTTTTCTCTGATTTTCTTCTCATAGACGCACATAAAACCCGTTGTCTTCCCAGGGGTCCCATCTTACTGCTTCCACATCCGCACCGACGACTGCACCGACACCCGATGCTGGCGAGCGCGTATCAAAAGTCCGTACTGTGCGGTCGTAGCTTCCCGTCAGCAACATCGTCGGCTCCTTCTCGTTCCACTGCACCGCTTGAACCTTGTCCTTGTGCACGTCAAAGCTCCGCAGCGCGCCGCTGCCCTCGCCATCGCCCGTCGGGTCGCGACTCAGGTCCCACAGCTTCACCGTACGGTCCGCGGATGCAGAGGCAAGCAGGTTGCGGTGCGCGCGGTTCCATGCGAGCGCGAGGACCGCGTCGACGTGGTGCGCGGTGCTCGTCGTGCGCGCCTTCGTCTTCTTCTTCTTCTTCTTTCCCGTACCGAGCGGCACGGGGACATGTGCGGCGGTTTTGTCCGGCCGTCCGAGGATAGAGTCTGGGTAAAGCGCGTCGACAGTGTCGAGCGACCAGATCTCGATTTCCGGGTCAAAGGTGCCTACGGCAATATAGTTTCCGAAGCCCGCTGTGGGCTTCGTGGACGCGTCGTCTATTGACATGCCGTCGGCGTCTTGCGATTTTGAGGCGTTGAATGGTGGGAAGTCGAGCCATTCGAGACAGAGGGGAAAGGCGGGAAGCATGATGTCGTGATGCACGTATAGATTTTCCTGAGACTCGTCGTAGACATAGACCTCAAGCTGCGAAATCTCGTCCTCGGTTTTTGCGGCGACTAGGATGTTGTCAGAGGGAAGGACTTCGAGCTCTTCGCGTTCTTCCTCTTCCTCGTCCTACAAGACCTTTAGTTTTATGCAGTTCCACATGAGTCCATACCCACCTCTTTTAATGTAATATATGGATCATCGTCATTATCCTTGTAGTATGTGAGACCTTTTATATTACTAAATGGCCCGGATGCTAAAGAAACGCGATCAACGCCACACAGCGGAGAGTATGGTATGGCATACCTATGGACTTCGACTCCTTATCATAGTCATCCAGGTTATACTTCGACAGATCATCATCACCGCCATTCGCCTTGGGTGTGGGGTCTGTGTCCATCTGCACATCCTCTTCACTGTCCCCGCGCAAGTGTCAGCGAGTCCAAGCAAAAGCGCGCATAGGAACAGCATAGATACGCACTCGACCCAGGCGTCCTCGTCCTCGTCATCGCCGCCGTCGTCCGCCTCATCACCTTCCGCGCCCTTTCCCATCTGGTTCGCAGCCTCGTGCGCACGCTCGAGTTCTATTCGCGCATCTTCAAGCTCTATGCGGGCGAGCGCGCTGACGCGCCCGAGCTCCTTTTCGTCGAGATTGTACTTTTGAGGGTGCTGCGCTGCGACTCCTCGTTTAACCCTGAATTATGCGCGGAGTATTAGTTCCAGTTCAGCCAGTGGCATACAGGTAGACTGACCAGGAGACGCAGGAGATGAGGCTGCTCATGGCTGCTAAATCTTGAAGTTTTTCTTACATGCCGATCAGCTGCAACAACGCCGAAGATTGCCTTTTATGGGCCGTTTACTTTATGGCACTGCGTTTTCGAGTGTATCGAACAGCATCTAGCCTTGCAAAAAGAAAAACCCCCTATACTCGTCGCGGAAAAAATACAAGGTTATAAGAGATTATGACTTGGTTATCAAAAAAGTGCTTTATATAGTAAGTACTCGTGGTGGAAGGAAAAAGCCTCTGATAAGGACAGGAGGCGAGTGTAAGTAATGATTGAGGCATGTTGCTCCACTTAAAAATCAACGTTCTGCCCACAAGTGTCATATATCGTGTATTCGCCCTTGCTATGGGCGAAAAATTATGCGTGGGTTCAGTGCCTACTTCCACACCAGGCTTTCCAGGCTTTCAAAGATCCATTCACCCTGCCCCCTCTCTGCGCCTCCTTTTTTCACGTTCTCCCCTCTAATTGTACTCGTGTTTGCCCACGACTCGGTTGATTGACCCATTTTGTTGATTGCTAAAAATATTGTCAATATCAGGTCTTGATTGTGGCTCTTGCGTGCTTCGACCATCCGGTGCAGCGCCAACGGTTTCCTTTTTGAGGCTGGTTGCTATGATCACTTGCCGATCGCGATTGGCAAGTCTTAAATCGAACCTTCGGCAGCGCCGAAGTCTCAACCAACCATCATGTCGGAGTCGCCTCAAGTTGCTAAGGAAATACACTTGAAGCAGGAGTCTTCGTCTCTGGCGCCGCGCGTCAAGCCCGCGCCGGACGCGTCCGCGATCCCCGTGCCGTTCGTATATGCGCCGAGCGACGACGGCACGGACGAGAACCTGCTTATCCTCCTGCACGGCCTCGGCAAGCATCCGCGTTCCTTCTCTGCGAAGCGCGGCATCTGAATCGGCGCTGCAGGTGACACGCATGTACCATTCGGGAAGCTCGGAAAGCAGCTCAGGCTCCCCCAAACGGCGACGCTCGCACTGAGGGCGCCTCAGCAGTACGTCCCATGACCTCTTTGGAAAAATCACTAAACTGACTTGCCTGTGTAAGGATCCCGTACCTCTACGAAGAGGCGTACCAATGGTACCCATCCTTCGATGACCTCGGCGAGCCGATCGTGCGCCCGAACCCCGCGCCGGGTGTCTCGCTGCTCTCGACGGCCATCGCACACCTCACAACCACATGTGCATGGCGGCCCGCGCAGATCCACCTCTTCGGCTTCGCGCAGGGCGGGTCTGTCGCGCTCGAGGCCGCGGTTGCGCACTGGAAGGCGCGGCCGCGGCTGCCCGAGGCGGACGCGGAGAAGGCGCACGCGCTCGGGAGCGCGGTGAGCGTCGGCGGGCCGCTGCTGCTGCACCATGCGATCAGCACGGCGTGCGCGACTCCTGCGCTGGTGCTGCACCGCGCGCCACCGAGTGCGCTCGCGCTGGGTGCGGGGGACCGGGCGGCGCTGGCGCGGCTGTTTGTATGGGCGAAGGAGGTGGAGCTCGCTGTGGGCGAGAGCATGCCTGCGAGCCGGGAGGAGTGGGAGCCCGTGATGGAGTTTTGGAGCCAGCGACTGGGGAAGAGGACGGGAGAAGGACTGTATGAGGTATTGGGTGGAACGGCGGTGTAGATGTTTTGATGATACCTTGCCAGCTTGCGTACTTTGGAACTCGGACACTTACTGTGACTTTCGTTCACGATACCGGAGTTCAATATTGGGGGGGGGGGGGGCGGACTGTAACGATTTCGTAGGCTGAAATACGCGAATTTTGAAACAGACCAGCATCTAAAATGAAATTATTATTCCATTCATCAAAAAACCACAGCAATAAAATGTTGAGCCAAATTATAGTACCCTTCCTTGGGCATCATTGGTGTAGTGGTTAGCATGGGATCTTCCCATACCCAAAGCAGGTCTCGACGCGAGTTCGAATCTCGCATGATGCATATGCCATATGTTATGGATTTTTTATTTCCTCTATGCATTGCAGAAACGTACAGTATTTCGGTAATATATAAATTCTATTTTTTCAAGCAGGAATCAACGCCCAATGGGATATGAAAAGATATATAAGTGAATTGTTTTTGTGCTGCGATGATTCATGCCTCGAGGCAGTAGGTTTTGAGTTTCTTGTCTTCTTCGGCACATGCTATTCCCCCCCTGCTCAGTGTTGACCCAGCTTCGCTTGCAAGCGCTCTCCAGTTTTTCACTTGACGGCCACGGCGACGACCACGCACAGTTTTCTAGCCCAAGACTCGAGGGAAACGAATACCATCGTCGTCTCGTGTCACATTATTTGACGATCGCCGCCTCGTTGTCGACGCCGCCACGTTCTAGTGCAGCACAGGCCGACGTTACTGCCCGAGGCACTGCGTCTCCCGACGCCGCACATATCATCCCCATCAGTCCGATTTTCCCACTTTCTGCCTCAGCCACGTCTCTCCCCGCCTCCTTTCGCCCTTCGCCGTCCCCAGTGTCTTCCAGGGTGGCGCAGTCTCCGCCTCGTCGCCGTCGCCGCCCCTTCGCCCTTCTCGACGGCGGCTTCCGCTCTCGCCAACGCTCCCACACCATCGCTTGCCCGTCTTCCCCGGTCACCCATCCACATACACACGCACACGAGCTCGAGGCTCGGCCCTCGGATACGGGCAAACGAATCGCAAACTTAGAGCACCACTCCCCATCTCGTCACGCAAATATAGGGCTCACGTTCCCCATCCGTTCGTCTCAGTCCCATCCTCCTCCAAAGAACGAGCACGGCTCCGGTGCTGCTGCGATGATACACGACGCCACGCACGTCAACCGCCAGATGAGCCCGTCTCCTCCGCCACCAACCAAGGCGAATCTCAAGGCCTGGTGGAATCAGTTCAAGTTTATGCAGCGCATGAAGCCCCCCGGCCAGAAGGACCTCCCGCCAGGTTATGGATATGGCTACGGGAAAGGTGTGTGGTGTGTCTTTTCACCCGTTTTCTCCTCCTACCTCTGTATTTCTTCGTTCCTCCTTTTTTCCATGCGTTCCCTGTGCTCGACCTTGTGGAAGATAGAGTACTGACTGGGCGCTGCTGGTTGGAGATAGACGACAGTCCTCACCCCGTATTTGGCGCACCGCTGCACGAAAGCCTTGAATATGCTTCCGTCCAGGTCTCAACAGCAAACTCGAATGGCGAGTTATACATATGGGGAGATATCCCTGTTGTCGTAGCGAAGTGGTGAGCGTCTTTCTATTTATATTATTTTCGCCATTCCTCATACTAGGTATCTGCTTTTTTAGTGGCCTGTATCTCAAGGAGAACGGTACGTGTCTCCTTTGGTCGACTGCACATATTTGAATTCAAAGGATCGTCGTTTTATACAGCTACGGAGGTGGAGGGCACGTTCCGCGTGAGCGGGTCGACCAAGCGCATGCGCGATCTGCAGGCACTCTTTGAGACGCCACCTAAGGTGCGCTCGCGCTCGCTTTTTACACAATCAAATAAATTCTGACAGGCACGTGTATCTTGTGAACCTGAATCTGTTGTGGGTGGGACACACAGTACGGGCGAAACCTCGATTGGAAGAAGGAAACCTATACTTCACACGATGTCGCAAGCGTGTTTCGCCGATACCTCACTCAGATGCCTGAACCTGTGATACCCTACAACCTGTATACTAAGGTATTTGTTGGTTGCTACTATATCGGGGAGCTTTATCTGACTATCTCGCTTTCTCGTCTTCATTTTCTTACAGTTCCGGGAGGCATTATGTGCGTATAAGATGACCTGAACTCTTTTGACTTTAGGCGAAGACCGGGTGACTGACGTTATGTTTATCTCGCAGCTAAAAAACAGTCCACGGACGATGTGATCAAGACGTACAAACAGCTAATACGGAGCATGCCACGGCAGAACCAATACCTGTTGCTATATGTGCTCGATCTGCTCTCGGTGTTTGCGCGCAAAGCCGAGAAGAACCTAATGACTGCCACGAGTGAGTTGCCTGTTTTCTGGTGTCCTAGTCCCAAGCTTTTTTTAATCCTTAGTGTGCGTTTTTCCATGTATATCGTCTGCTGCTTTTTTTTCCCTCCTTCATCTAAGAAAGGATTAGATTCAAACATGTTTTGCTAACGTTCGCATTCACTCCACACACAGATCTTGCAGTGATCTTCCGCCCGGGCCTCATTAACCATCCGCAGCACGAGCTAGCTCCCAAGGAACATCAGCTCAGCCAAGAAGCGCTGGAGTTCCTTATCGAGCACCAGGATTGGTTCATGCTCGACGTTCCGCCACCACCGCCGCCGCCGAAATCACCTCACACCGCGTTGTCCCCGGCTCCGATAGAGAACGAGCCAACGGCGTATGACTACTCCGGAGAGCGCTCGGTGTCTCCAGGTCCGACGGTCATGTCGGCGCTAGGGGAGCCGGGATGGCGCCTGGTCGAAAAGAGCGACGCAGGGCCTCGTGCGCACTCGAGGCACTCGGGGCGGAGGCGTTCGAGCTCGGCGAGCGGCGAGCCGACAGGGCATGGACATACGACCACAGGCACAGGGTCGCATATTAGGATTGCGAGTGCCGGGCGCGCACGTGAAGTGAGCGTGTCTTCGTCAAATGGGAGCGGGAGTGGGTTGGGGGTAGGGATTGGGGGCGCCGGGGCGGTGGGCGTGACGCGCAGCAGGACGTTGCCTTCGCGGCGCACGGCAGGGCGAGACGCCGGGGGCAGCGAGGGCGGCGTGCGCAAGGAGGGGCTTGGGAGGGAAGCGACTACTCGGGAAGGGGTGAGAGAACGGAGAGAGGGCCGGGAGGGCCGAGAAGGGAGGAACGTGCTGAAAAAGCAGAAGCGCGCGAGTATGCAGACGCAGCGAAGCACGCAGCAGGTGCCCCAGCCGCTGGCTGCGCCTGGTGGAGGCGTAGGTGTGGGCGGAGGCGGGCCATCATAGTCTACGTGGACGATTTTCTTTTTTCTCTTTTCTTATCCGTCTCTTTTCTCTCCGTTTCGTATTTAGTTTTCTTGCTGGTGTTTCATATCTGTCTTTCTTTGGATACTTTATGTCGATGTGTTCTTCCTATTTCCGTCCCGTCATACACCGTCGGCACAGCGCGGATGTTTTTTCCCTCCTTCCCGGCAGCTTTCCTTGTTCCATGATGGATGGCTTTACGCTTCCCCGTTTGCCTCTGTTCCGTGCTGGTGTTCCTTCATATCGCTTTATTGTCTCCTTGGCTCTAACGTGTGCCATTGGTGTCGCGGCGAGGATGGAATATGCTTACTTTACACTATGGACTCTTCTACACACTTTACTATTAGATCGCTCTCTCTACTATCCCGGACTTTCTTAGCGTGATTTTCGAGTGGACACTGGGTCTTTCTCTTTTTGTTGTGTAGTAATAGCTATGTATGTAATTCTGAATCTGATACCTCTTGTTCTGTTGCTATTTATTGCTTTTTGATGAAGAGGTTCGGCAGATGGACGGAGAGCTGTCGGCTGGTCGGCTGGTCGGCTGTGGTGGCCGCCGTGTCGAAGAAAGGACTAAACGGGGCTGATGGGACTCGGAATAGCACCGCTGCTCGCTCTTGTCTTTGTACCGCGAGTGTACTACTCGTGCCTACTGAACACACGGCGGCGACGATACCGACGACTCCTTCTCCTGAACTTACGACACTGACGAACTGATCTGACGAACTGCTGAAAGAATGGCGCAGGGCAGGCCGCAGCTCGCGGATGCAGGCACACGGTACTCCGACTATTCGAATCCAGACGAGTTTCTGTTCGACGGCTCCATTCCGGTCTGTTCAATTTATATTTTATATTTATAACCTCTGCACATGCCGGCTGTTGCTTACAATCTACTACATCTTTGCTGCCTCCGTCCTCTTGTTCTCCCACTCGTCGCTCCTTCAACTCCCCCCATCTGCACCCGCACCCGCTCGACGCGCTCGCTGCTCGCCCGCGTGTCCTCCCATCAACCCCCTATCCGCCAACTCGCCACCCCGTTCTATCCGCACCTCGTACCTCCCATACAAATCCTATTTTTAACCCGCCGGCGTGGTCTGCTGCTGCGCAGCCGCCACACCGTCTCTCCACCCTCTACAACACCATCGACACGCCCGCCCGGGGCTCGCTCGACCTCTCCCCCGCGCCCACGCCCACGCCGCACTCCTACTCCGACGCCAGCCCAGCCACAACAACCCCGCCCGGCTTCGCCCCCGTCCCGACCTCGGAGGACCCCGCGATAAACAACGACGAAAACCCGCTCTTCATGCCTGCCGCGCAGTTTGGTGCGAACGCCCCCGGGCGCGGGTACAGCCATGTCGACGAGGGCAGCGCGTGGCTCGAGAAGGAGGAGCGCAGCAACAAGCGCTCGAAGTGGATGGTGCGGCCACCCACGCTCATCTCCACGTTTTTTTTTCTTTCGCTGTCTTACGCGCGCATTTAAGGTTATTGGCTCGGTGGTGGCCATCGTCGCGATCATCGCCGTGGCGGTCGGCGTCGGCGTCGGCGTCTCCAAGATGAAGAAGTCCTCGTCCGCGAGCAACTTGTCGAACTCGAACCCGAACTCGACCGTCCAGCAGACGAACCCGAACGACCCGAGCACGTTCGTGAAGAACAGCGCGCTCAAACAAAGTTTCTACGGCATGGCGTACACCCCCGAGGGCTCCCAGCTCCCAGAATGTGGGAATAGCCTGGGTATGTTCTAATTTTTTTTCTCTGCCACTTTCGGGTGTTTTGTTTTCTCCGGGGTTTCCCCCGGCTTGTCTCGTGAATTCTGTAGAGCGCAGTGTGAAGAAACCTACTGACGCGCTCGTTCCTTACGCAGCGGATGTTATTACGGATATCCAGGTGAGCTCGCATCTTTTTTTTTGACATGGAGTGGGAAAGGACTGACGCCTATCTATGATTTGCAGCTCATGTCACAGCTTACCACCGTTAGTTCCCTGATCCCGCAGCCATATGTCAAGCTCGGCAGATATTGACGCT